ACACTAAATTTAATGAATCTATATTTTGTTAAATATTATAAAAACAACTAGAATCTCTCTGAATCTGAGTCAATTAGTCACTTTGATTAGCAATGTTTTCCAGAATCACAACAGGTGGCCAGAAAAGATCTGGGGGAAAAATCAGCTAATTGTTTATAACCAAGAATTGGATTCTTAGCAGGGTAAAGTGCCAATAAATAGTGCTGATCTATAGAAATGCTATGTTGCTGACCAGATGATGCATTTGAATGTTGTAACCATTGAGAGTTCTGGCTGTTGCAAATGGATTTGTGAGATAGTGTAGGGCAGACCTGTCAAACTGGTGGTGCGCGAACCACATGTGTCATGCACAGGCCACGCCCACCCCAGCTCCATAAATGCAAAAAACCTCACGTCACAATACATCACATGATGCAATCGAGTTTGACACCTGTGTTGTAAAGATACTGCTTGTGTGTGACCACTCTATTTCCTAATAATCATTACAAACTAGCAAAATTATTTAGATTACTTCATTTTCTGGCGGTTTTTAATGTCCATACTCAATTTGTCCACTGAGGATTAGGTCAGTATTTCATGATGGCCATGTCTGAACTATATTTGTTTCCACGCATGCTGAACACATTGATGCATTTTGTTGTATTAAAGTTAGTAATCTGAAGATGGATATGAGGGTCGGATTGTTTCCTTGTTGTCAAACATCTGTTGTCACTCACCCTGATGGTGGATGATTCTCAGCACAGAAATGTGGCTAAATTAAACATGCCATTGCCAATGAAGACATAGTACAAGAAAGGTAAAATATAAAATTTAATGAAGAGACACAAAAAAGGGGCTGTTGAATTTGGACTAAGATATATAAATTAAGGATCAGGCACATACCACCAATGACTATCAACTTTGCAATGACTGCAACTTGAATGACTCTTGACAATAGTTATTTAAAAACAGTGTCCTATACATTCCTATACAGAGGTAAATAATTGGTTTAAAAATCTGAGTTAGACAATCCATTCTTACTAGCTGTAATCTCAAATGAGAGATACATTATATTCCTTCATTGTTTAACCACGTTATTTGGTAATATGCAATAGAGAATGCTTTCTGAGTTTAACCTGCAAATGTTAAGATTTGCCTAAAAAGAATTGAATTAACTTTAAATTTATGCACTGTTTTCCTTGAATGCAACAATAAAGCACTGTTTTAAGTCTATAATTAGCTGTAACAAGATCAGCATTCACGCTATTGAAAATGGTATCTAACATGACTATCAACACTTTAGGATGTGCAAATAAATGCCCAAATAATAGATTATTTCAATTTCTTGAGAACAAAGAATATTTCACCATAACATTGGCACTGCAAAAGGTGTTCATTCAATGCAGATATGTCAGACATGTTTATTTTAATGCAGATACCTATTCCCAGTATGAAAAGAATCATTTTAAAAACTTGAATATCCTAGTTTTTGCTCCTGCAAAAGGAGTTATGCCTTTAGTTGAATTTAGTTTTAGAAGTGCTCTCATTTTATACAGCATATATCAATCATATACATATGTCACCAATGTTCATACAAAGCTGTTTTTGAATGTTGTTTTAGACAACTGGAAATAACAGGTGCCTTTATTATAATACTCATCTTCTAAAAACCTTCATTAAAAAAGAATTGAAGGGATTTTAAAAGGGAAAATGGCAAATAATTGTATTTACTTTTTGTATATTTAACATTTTTTATTTTTATATACTTTTAAAGTGCATCTAATTTAAGGTGTGTTGCTCTAAACTTTGAAAACTCTTCTAATTAACTGAATTTGACTATTTGTCCTTAAATTTCAGACAGGAAAATAGATACAAAACATTGCTAATCACAATTAATTTGGGTGCCAAATTTTCTCGGTGAATTTAGGGAGCATTGGGTTCATGTAATATTTCACAGCAAAACTACTCATCTTTAACAAGGTGTACTTGGAAGTGTTTTGCTTTGTTTTGGTAAGTCAGAGTTAATTATCACTTACACTCATCACAATTGCAATAATTTTTTATACTTGTGGAAAGTAATGTTTACAAGGATGCAGGTGACATGGTGTATCACGAATCAAATGGACCATTAGACAATGTTCTCTTTTTTGATATTCAAGATATAGTCTTATTTAAAAGTCTTAAAAAGCATGTCCGAATTCTATTTATAGTGATTTAACACAATTTCAGCTTTCTAGAGTGTATGTAGAACCAGTGACGTGCGGTCAGCTTTAGCCCCGGTGAGGCTGTTTTTAGATTTGTGGACTTCAACTCCCAGAATTCCACAGCCAGGCATACTCAGTTCCAATTTAAAGCGACAGCATTTTTCCCCCTTGCAAAATAAGTTTTCCCATTCTTTTTCTTCTCCCTCCCCCTCCTTCCTCCCTCTCTCCCTCCCTTCCCCCTCTCTCAAACAGACACACGCACACAGAGAACTTTGATCCTTCTCTCATTCACTCACTCTCAAACACAAACACAGAAGTTGGATTGGATATATTTTCCAAAGGCTTGAAAGCAGCTCCTCTGCCATACCCCTCCCCTTTCCCTGTTGCCTTCCGATCAAACTTTTTGAATTCCTCCCCCCTCCCCACACACGCACCTTTTCCAGCTGTTTCAGAGACGATTTCAACTCTGCTTTTCCCTGCCCTGCCCTCCCCTCTTGAAAAGCGAGAGCTCTGAAGTCAGACTGAGCTAGTCGCTCCCAGAAAACTCTAAAAAGCCTCTAAAAATGCCCTCTACATGAGGCGAGAGAATACGTGCCTCATTTGCATAAGAAATTCTTCGCTTGTTAACCCTTGCTTAACTCTTAAAAGGCGAAAAAATCCTTATGCAAAAGAGACCCCTAGTTCTCTGGCCTCCTCCTAGTTAATACTGAGAGCAGACACCAAGCCACTGTGACTTGAAATCTGGTAGCAACTACCCTGGCTTTAATTAATTTAAGAAAATTATTTAAAATCCTTTCCTTTCCCTGAGGAGACTGGTGAGGCCCCGCCTCCCTTGCCTCTAGTGACTGCACGTCCCTGTGTAGAACAGAGAACTTTTAAGAGAATACTGCACTCTTGAATGGCTATCTTTGTTCGTAGTTTTATTTTTAATAAATATGTGAGATGCACTCTTCAAAAATTACAAACATATGATATGAATGTCAAACTTCTAATGAAGTTTCTGTGAGGGGATCATTAATGAAATTGCCAAATCTAGCTCTCTTGGCCTAAATGAGAATGGACAAACAACAGGAGTGATGGAAAAAGTGATACATAAAATACATAGTCATAATTATTCAAGGTGCGGACCTCCATAGAAAGCTGAAATAAATGCTGGAATAAAGTAATGATAAAGTATTAAGAATTTACTTTAATTTTAAGGCCACCAACTTCCAATATCTCTGGAATGCATACAATTAAAACATTATTAAAAGAAAACAAAATATTTCAGATAAAAGAAATATAATTGAATGAAAATAAATATAAAACAAGTCACTAAAGCTTGTAGTCTTTGAAACAAAATGTTTAGATTTTGTTTTTTTACATTTTTCTTAGATGCCTTGAGCATTTGCTATTATTGAATCAACCCCTTTGGCATTAAGCAGAACTGTCCATCATTTTCAAACGCACCTATTAAGAGTCCTTTCCCATACTCACCATAGCCTGATTATCAAAGATGCAAATTTAGAACTGATATATCTAATGAAAATCAGGCCACCATCAGATGAGGATGGCTGGAAAATTCATAGTTTTATGCTTAAGATTGATTTCAGCGTATCATAAATTAACCTGAACAGTTGTATCTACAAACCTTTCAATATTATGAAATGTAAAGATAAAAACACATTCAAAACCTTTTTTACCCAGATATTTCAACAATTTTTAGATTTCTTATCACTTAAAAGTCAAGCAAGATTTTAATTTTTTATCAATGCACTTAAAATAAAGAATTAGGCTTACAAGAAAAATGTAAAATATGATGCTGTTCAAATCAAGTTTCAGACTGCAGTCTTTGCAACTAACAACACTGCTACCATAGACTTATTTCAGGAGTAAAGTCAAATGGACAAACTATTTTATTTCCAAGAAAATAAAGTGACACCTTTTCTTTGAAAATATTTACTTTGCAGCTTGTATCAACATTTGAGGCAGTTGATACCTTTGAGGACTATTTTGAAATCTTAAATTCAATAGTTTTCCCTTAACTTTTCTTCAAATTTTTCCATAAAGAAGAGAAATCTCAGAAACATTTTCTAGGTTAGTACTGCCATCTTGTGAGAATTCATGTGCAAAGTTACTACACTCCCACAAATCTCTTGCTAAGCAATACATCTTTTTTGTATTCTGAAGGTATACGGACTTTGTGAAGGAAACAAAAATCTAAATTTATTTATTATAATGGGAAGTAGCTGCTATAGTTAGCAACTCTTTATTGTCCTTCTCCAAGATCTTTCTAGATTAGAAGTACAATACCCAGATTACAGTAGTCACTACATCTATTATCCTGAGTCTCTCCAAACTATAGAATTTCACTGATTTATCATTTTCAGATATTGGATAGATTAAAAAAATAATAAACATTCATTGAAACTTTAAATATCATACTAGAGTGTTTATAACCAAGGGAATCCAACATTTATTACTCAGATAACACATTGGTATGGTAACTAACAAGTTAAAGTTGAGAAATAAAGAATTAGATAATTTATTACATCTGCTTATTTTATCTCAAGTCAGTATAGGTCCTAAATACATTTCAGTAACTTTTCGCTAGTGTGGTAGTTTGGAAGATTGTTTTGTGGAAAAAAATAAAGTATTACATTTCTAATTCCTCTCCTTTCAAAATAGAGATGAGAATGGCACCTACCTAAACCTCTAGAGACTCATTGGCATTACTAATGAAGGCATTGACATTGTCTGTAACAAAATCTGAGTTGAATACATTTCCACTTTTCTTATGCTAGACTTTAGAAATGTCCAGTAGAAACAAATCCCTACCTTCATGATGAACATCCTTAAAATAAGGATCCCGAATAAATCAAGTTATTACAATATGCAAAAAATTATGGAAAAATAAGCATTTGAAGTGCTAACTACATTGAAAAGCAAACCTAAACTAATTTGTAAATATTATTTAAAACTATTAATTGGGGTACTTCTAGTAAGTGCGGTGATAATTCAACGATTAAACAAAAACACCACTTGGCAAACAAGCAGATCATTTTCTCAATCTCTCAAATCACTAATTACAGAATAGAAAGTTAATACCAGGCAAAATACGATACCAATAAACACCCCCCCCCCAAAAAAAAACTAACATAGCTGAGCTCAATCCATTCTGCCCGATAAATGTTCGCGCTTGCGCATTAACGCCTATAAAAAAAACCAGGCGGGGAAATCTTGCTTGCTTGACACGTCAAAAAGGAGCGCATACGCCACCGGCTGCTCGGTCGCAGTAGCGTGAATCGCCTTGTACTCCCGCGAGAAGTGAGAGAGGCGGAGCTATATTTTAAATAGGTGGCGGGACGTCTTCTCGTTTCCTATCTGGGCCTGTAGGGTAAAGAAGGGCTTGTTTTTTTGCTTCCGTTTCAGCCCAGATCTGTTTCACTGTTTCGGACGCCGAATGGCGAAACAGCAAAGCCGGGAGCAGGGCATCACCTTGCGGGGCAGCGCCGAGACTGTGGCGGAGTTTTTCTGTGAGTAACCGGGCGGGTAGGGACGGAAGTAATGCTGGTTTAAGAACGTGAGCCAGCTCGGTCGGAAGAGGGGGACCCACATCCTTCCGGCTTTCTTTCTGCTTTATGAGACTTATTCCCAGGATGGTGCTCGACCACAAGTCCTTTTGTGCCCGGTAGAATTTGCACCCGGATAGATGGACTCGGCCGAGACTCGGGGGGAGGGGGCAGGGGAAGGACTCCGAGTTGCGTTTTGGGGCAATGAAGTGGGGGCTCATTGCGAGAGTGCTGCACTGGGTTCGTTCTTTTTATCTTTTCCTTCGTTCTCCTTCCATCGCCACGAGTTATCCTTGCAGTAATTGCGTCTGGCTTGGCTCTATAGAACAAGCACAAAATGCTAAGAACTTAAATTTGCAGTATAGTGCAAAAAAAGGCAATATGCCTGGAGAGGACCTAAAGCAGTTTGAAGGACGTTAACGCTTAACCATGTATACGTTTATTCTCAAACGTGGGAGACAGTAACTTCAGCCTCGGTAAGGAAGAAATGCTTAACTTAAAATGAATGTGAAGAGCAAATATAATGGAGGTTTGGGAGACTCAATTCTGGTCTGCATCTTGGCTGCGTTTAAGGCACAGCTTTAAGGTTTGTTCAGAATACAGTAATTGGTTGTTGGATATGATGAGAAAGAAAGTCCTAGGATTTGGTGCAATATACAGAATCTGAAATTTTATGTCCCAGTAGTATACCTTGGTGCAGGTAATTCTTGATTTATGACCACAATTGAGTTCAAAATTTCTGTTGCTAAGTGAGACAGTGAAGTGAGTTTTGCCCCAGTTTATGACCCTTCTTGCTACATTTGTTAAGTGAATTACTGCAGTTGTTAATTTAGTAACACGATTGTACAGTGAATCTGACTTCCCCATTTGCTTGTGAGAAAAAGTGATCTTGGGATACTGGAATAATCAGAAATATGACTCAATTGCCAAGCATTGGAATTTTGATCATGTGACTACAATGGTTGTTAGCTTGAAAACTGGTCATAAATCATTTTTTTCAGTGTTGTAACTTCAGTGTTGTAAAAGTTCACTAAATGAACTTTTGTAAGTCAAGGACTACCTGTATATGCAAAGCAATCATATACCTGGTGAAGTGGTTAAGGCACTAGTCTAGAAAGCAGGAAACTATGAGTTCTAGTCCCTTCTTAGACATGAAGCCACCTGGATCTCCAGAAACATTCTTATCTTTGAGGGATGTTATTCCATAAGGTAGAGGCTGCAACAGAAGGCACAATTTCTAAGTCCTACAATATGGCAACATTTAATGTTAAGGACCTAGAGAACATCCACTCTGCTGGATCATACTGTAGAATCAGTATGTAGGATCATACAGCAGAAACAATTTTTGAAATAAGTGATCTCTCAGATATCCAACCCCTATGTCATATATAATAAACAGTGTTTATGACCTAAAGTTGCCAGCTTGGGGAAGGCTTAAAATACAAACAAAATAAATATTAAAACAACATAACACAATGGTCATGAGTAGTAAACAGAAGGTCTCAAATGCCAAGATAAATAGCTTTTTCAGCATGTACCAATTGTATATCTTTGAGTTTGCTAATATTAATTGGTATAATAATTATAACAACACATGGCAAAGAGCCATGGTGGCACAGAATACACTGCCAGCAGTTTGATCCTGACCAGCTCAAGGTAGATGGCCTTCCATCCTTCCAAGATATGTAAAATGAGGACCCAGATTGTTTGGGGGCAATATGCTGACTCTGTAAACTGTTTAGATAGGGCTGTAAAGCACTGTGAAGTCTAACTGCTATTGCTATTATGATACTGCTTTTTAGATAATCAGATACACTACTGTATGTATATTTTCTTCTTTCAGCCTATGGTATCAACAGTATCTTATATCAACGTGGAATATATCCTGCTGAAACATTTACACGTGTTCAAAAATATGGTCTTACCATGCTTGTTACTGCAGACTCTGAACTTAAAAATTATCTGAACAATGTTGTAGGACAACTGAAAGGTATACTTTGTTTAATCAAGGATCAAAATATTTAGATGCTTTGCAATGTTTATACAAAGTTGTAATCTTATAGGCATAATACCAAAAGAAAGGAAGACACAATGAATTAAGAACAGTTACATGCTGATTTTTTTAATGGTCATTTAAATTGATTACTGCATTTCCCATATAATATCATTGTGATGTTAAATGATAGTGTATCTATTCAATACTAGATCTGCTTTTGCTTTGCAGCACTTTTATATTTACTCAAATTTTGCTACCAGTTTATCTGCTCACATTTTACTTCAGTAAATTATGTGCCATAAAGCTATTGTCGACCATTAGAAATGATAGAATTTTCATAATCTGCTTTAACCTGTTCAGCTGCTCCAACTGTGATCTCATTGCCACTGTGACTGCATCCATCCATTCTCTACACACGCACACACACACTGTATATACATTTACTATATGTGTAGTGTGTGTGTATATATATATATGTACTATATATATATATACACAAACATACACATACTGTGTTTCCCCAAAATACGACCTATACGATATGTATATGTACGTATATATGTATACATACTCTGTGTATGTATCTTTCTCAACTTTTTTTTAATCTTTCTGTATTTTTGTATTTTTGTATTACTATTTCTCAGTTTTTGGCATATATACAAATAATATATAAATAGAAAGGTAAAGCTTCTTTGCCCAATAGGGTTCAACTACTCATAAACAAGTTAGCATGATTTGCAAGCTCCATAGGGCAGGCATATCACTGATACCTAAACATGGGTTGCATTGCCATGTTTGGTTGCATTTGCCATCTGCATTTTTCTAGCTGCATCTCATCAGCCTTTTTGTTTTGCTAGGGCTCATTGAGAATCAAGTATTTGAGACCAAGAAGAATCTGCTCAGGGACTCTAATTTAGTTGCCTCTGAATTCCAGTGTGTGACCCCATAAATAGCAGGCTTACCTGCCTTATAGCTACTGGTATAATGTTTTTCAGTTGTCCTCGGGAAATGTTCCAGTTTATCTTAATATCTTAATTTCACATCTCACATAGTCAAGCAAAGCAATATTATGTACATATATAGGATAATGATCCAACTACACCAGGGGATATATAAGAATGTTACGTATTTTTAATTTTCTGTGTTACTTATTTGGCATATTTAATCTTGTTAAATAAGCCATGAATTGTCTGTTGATGCAAGTGTGATAGATAAGGTGCCCATGTATTTGACAGTTTCTCATTTGTAGAATTCAGGAAACTAACTTCTTGCTCTTCTTAGAATGGCTCTTTGAATGCCTTGTCCAACGGCTAGTGGTAGTTATCTCTAGTAAGGAAACCAGTGAAGTTCTTGAAAGATGGCAATTTGACATTGAATGTGACAAAACTGCCAAAAATGAAAAGTAAGTATATTTGTTGGAAAATGGAAAATGTAGCCCCCCACCCCCATTATTTCTTATTCAAAAGTTCTTGTTATTCCTGAAGTATATAGCTAGCCCAGCCCTCATCACAGGCTTTGCTTTATGATGTTTGTAGCATTATTCGGGTCTTACAAAGATCCCCATTCAACATGTTATTGAGCACCAAGAACATTCTTGTTCATTATTTGGTATGTGTCTCTGCTTTAATGCCAGAGTAATAATTTTAAAGCTATTTCACAAATATTAACATGTTATCAGTTGTACTACCTGTTTTGTCTCCATAATAACACTGAAAGTGTTCCAAAGAAGAGAAATAGCAGATTGAATTCATAAAAGTTATAGCCAAAATGTGCAGTTATTAGGTTTAATATTAGGTTATTAGATTTAGTTTTAAGGCTTATAATTGCTACCAATGGATCAGATAATTTGGAAAAAGTACAGAAATTGATTGCAATGCTTGTATTAACTTCTCATCTTGGACATGTTAATCATTTAGGAAGTTAGTCTATTATGCCTGCCAGGTAGTAATATTAGTGGTAAAGACTATTTGATTTATATTTTATCTTCTTTTATACTGAGAACTTTTAATTGCTATTTTAGTGCACCAAGGCAGAAATCTCAGAAAGCTATCCAGGATGAAATCAAATCTATTATCAGACAAATAACAGCTACAGTGACATTCCTTCCTCTATTAGAAACTACCTGTAAGTAATATTGCTTAATGAGGGAGTGTAAGTTTGGTTTTGGTACATTTCATGTGTACTATCTAATTGCAATTTTCACAAAAATTCTGTCAGTCCTGTGACCAAATGCCTGCAAACCATCTCTACTAATATGAAGCTGACTAAAGTTGCAATATTTGTCATGTTTAAATAGTTGCCTAGCTTACAATCAATAATTCTGGATGGCATATAGGGGTAAGGGACAAGAGTTCAGGAGTTACAATTTGGTGGTTTCCCATGATTTATGTAACTGGGGTCACACCTCATAAATTGGGATTTTTAATTATGGTTTGCTAAACAAGTCATAATTGACTTGGTTCTTTTGTTACTTTAAGCTTATATGTTGCACTCAAGAAATGGATAGTTTTCTTTAAATGTTTATTCCAGATGCATGTAAATGTATAATAATCATTCATCTGTGATTCTTCCAGGTGCATTTGACTTA